CGGTTTGGCCGAGTGGTTAAGGCGAGGGATATGAATCGCGTGACTGTCATGTGCAAGCCATATCTGCCTTTAGCTGGTATCGGCTGAGAGTTGGCGGTGGTCAAATTGCAGCTGGAAGTCGATTCGCAGCTTAGAAACGACATTTGTGAGAGTTAATCGAGATACATTGCTCAAGTAAAAAAACTAGGTAAATCCAGAAAGATTAGAACAAGAACATCTTGTTGATATTGGATAATAAAAGAATAGAATAAATAGGAATAGGGATGTTTCAATAAGTGCCAATATTATAGTAGTAAACACGATAAACTCGTCCCAGATTCCCTAGTGTATCTGGGCGTTGTATTGTTTAAATACTAACCTACTTTGCACAACCATCACAAATTGCCGAGTGCTATCACTGACATCTTAGTGACATATAGTGATCAGCGTTCGAGAGCTTATACCATTACATACTAATCCGTGATGCATCCATGATGCACCAGGATTAGCTTGTGCCACTATCAGCTAACCGTAACATGATCGGCATCACTTCCCATATCGGAATTCCGCATTTGAACAGTAAAAAGTAGCAAAATCAATGGATCAAAAGATCACCGTCGGCTACAGGGTTCGAACCTGTGCGGGAGATCCCAAGGGATGGCTTGCACATGACAGTCACGTGATTCAAATCCCTCGCCTTAACCACTCGGCCAAACCGACAGCTTTTTCTGAGCTAACTGCTCGACTTTTAATTGTCGTCGAATTATAGAGTACTTGATGCAGAGGCACGACATATCGGCAAAGGTTAGCTCTCGGCTAAAAATACCCGCTGCCACAACCTAATCTTGATGTATCACAGATGCATCACGCATTAGTATGTGCATTTTTTTACGCAACCTTTAAGCGTATATTGTGATGATAAAAAAGAGATGAAAAGCAAGGCGGAGGAAAAGTGCTACACGTCCTAGGAAAAAAATACATAATGTGTTTATTGGAAAAGAAACAGTAGAGGAAAACGGGGCCATGGCGATGTCCATTTTATAGGGCCAGAAGGCATTCTTCCAGCAAATACAAACATTTGTGCTCTGATGGATATCACAATGAGAAACCATTGTGCTGAGACTGAAATAGCACGTTTCTGGGATTCATCATTGTTTGTGTGCTCCTGCTGACACCCATCACAAATAAAGCATTCACAATCACAAAGACACAATAAAGGGAGGATGATGCTAATCAGAACCGACTTGCATGGCATCACTGGTGGAGGGAGGATGCTATGTGAATGCAGCCGTCGATCCTGGCAGCCAGGCACCAGGGGTGTCATCACTCCCTGTTGCCTAGGGGTGTCGCTCACCCACTCATGCCTTTTGTAATAGTGATAACCCAAAAACGTTAATATACTTCCACTTAATAAATAATAACAGGCTATGGTGTCCTATCAGGCAAGATACTGGACATATCTGGGATGTTGGTGTCATCATCCGCAGTGTATTGCTTGCATGAGTGCACAGCCACCATGTCCACTAATCACAAGATTGCCGATCCTGGTCATAATAGTTACCATGTTGATGACGCGGCCTCAGTTTATAACATACTTTTCATGGCCTGTTTTTAGCTTGTGTTTCTTTTTTCTTATTTTTATTCTTTTCATTTGCTCTAATAACACCGTTTAGTTGCTGGTGAATCCCCTGCACGTTCTGTCCAACCTGTATTATGTTTATACCCTTGAGAAACTCGACACAGTCTATTCTTCTTTGTAATATTTACTTTTCTTTGCTTTTATTCATGCATTCGATAACCATGTCTGCCCAAGCTCAGCAGAACACATGCATGAAAAAAAGGGGCAAGGTTTGCGCCAAAGAAGCTGAGACATTTGACGATTCTGGTATGTATTATGTTACGTATAAACTAGTTGGTAGTTATTTTATAATTCAAGAATAGATAAAGTCCAAACGAGCAAGAAGAATTTTAGCAAGCCTGTCGTTTCCCGACAACGTCGTCCACGGCGCCGCCGTCGCTACAAAGAACCTGTTAGAAGGAAAAGGCGCCGACGCATGCTCGACGATATCCGAGATTGAAAACCCGCTCCCCACGTGATTTAAAGTGGGACAACACCGGGAGATGTGCGCGTTGGCATTTCATATGCCAACAATAACAATCATCTCATATGTGCTTCTCATGTGCATCCATGGCCTGCCAAAGAAGGAATGTAAGAAGCACGCTTATTTTGACTTTCTGCTTGATTTACTGCTTAGATACAGGATGAGGGGTGAACTATTGACATTGGTAGTAGCTTTAGTGTTGCCTCAAACTCTTATGACCAAGTCAATTCTAATCAGTCAGAGGCGGGCTGTTGGCTGATGAAATGCCAATATGCAAAACTCACTGTTGAGCAAGGGCAGCCAAAACCATGTTGCTAGCAGTATAGTAAATCTGGAGATTGTTGAATACCATTAGGTTTTTCTCCTTTAGATAGTGTTCTTTGCAGCGCAGATGGCACTGAGGACATGGTCAAGAAGAACTGCTAGACAATTATTATTTCACTTTTACTTTATATATTATTCTATTAAATCAATTAATAACTAGGTTGTGACGTAACAGTATATCAGTTTACTGCTTGCTTATATAGTGCTTGCAGCACCACCCAAGCAAGCACACAATGATCATGCTGCTCAATGATAATAAAAATGAAGTATAATGCTACATATAATAAAAGTCGTTGTTCTGAAGATGTGAATTTCTCATTTAGAATGTTTGCCTAATGTTTTTATTGTGAAATCAAATTATAAACTACTGATGACTGTCCCTCAAAGGCAGAGTATGCTACAGCTATTCTAGTCCACTGCAACCATGGATTTGATGATGCTAGTCTACAAACAGCTGTGTGACGACGAAAACACGTGATCACATAACACTTACGGGAGCCGGCGGACTTCGCTACTCGGTGACATCGGAAAGACACGATGGTACATATATTGGCAATATATGTACTCGAAGACACGAGCGACAAAGGCGAAGAGTCAACACAAGAGTATATTATTATTAGTATAAAAAGGATGGGATAACCACCTTGTTTATTCATATCATTATCAACTAAAGTAGTCTCAATATTCTTTATCACAAGCTGTCAGCATGTACAAGAGGACTGTGGCAGTGATACCTTCCCACAGTCTGTTGCTTGTGTGTGTCCATGGCCCACTGAAGGGGGATAACAAGAAGCACGTGTATTTCGACTCACTGTGCAATCTGCTCCTTCACTACAAAATGAAGGAGTGGACACTTTTTGTAGGTAGTGACTTCAATGTCACCCCAAATACCTATGATTGAGTTAACTCTGGCAGTTATGAGCCAGGCTGCAAGCAAATTTGGCTGCTTTGTACGTCACTTGACCTAATGGATGCTGCGGATTCCTTGTACCCGCATAACATCTATAGTGGTCAGCCACGCACGTCCCAGTTCACCTATCATTACCTGGCATCGAAATATCCAGCTGATTCGCAGCTGTACAAGTCTCGTCTTGACTTGTTTTTGGTCCCAGTGCATCTAGCCTGCTTGCCTGGATTTGCCTATTCGCATGAGCCACACAGTGTAACTGGTAAAGATAAATTCGACCATGATGAGATCTATCTCTACGTTCTGCCACAGACTGTGCCCATTGCCAAGCCAGTCTCAACAGTCTTTGTACCTTACCTATGGCATATTGTCAGCCTAGTTGCTACCAGGTAAGTTAGAAGAGTCAAATAGAATTAGTGTCAATAATATAGTATTTAAAATACAAGAAATTTATTCCCAGTTCTCCAGGGAGTCGGGGCATTGCCTGCTTTAAATACTAAAAAAGTTTGCTCATCCATCAAACACTGCAGCATGCAAACACTGACATCTCAGTGTCTTGTAGTGATCAGCGTGTGAGCACTCATGCCATCACATTCTAATCTGTGATGCATCAATATTAGCATGTGACAATAGTGCTTGGCCAAACGTAAAACTTTTCTGAGCTAACTGCCCTACTTCAATTATCGTCAAAGCATTTCATACTTGTTACACATGCGCAACATTGGAAAAGCCTTGTGGATACAAAGGTAGAGGCTTATTTATCGTATTATTGTAAGTGTATATATTTTTTTGGAGAAATAAAGCAAAGGCTGAAGAGACCAAAGGCGAGCACTTGGCTATCTTATATTTTCAGTTATAAATTCTTGTCAGTTACTGTCATCGCCTGCGCCTTCCACAAGCAGTGCTTCATTTGTGGCTAACAGCATAATCGTCAGGGATTGTGCTAGACGTTAAATCCATTAGGCAGTAACTGCCATTTGTGACGGCGCTCGCTGGCTCTCTGCTTTATTGCCCACCATTGTGGTTCAACTGTTGGCATCATGGTATGCTTCAAGCCTTTGGGGCGACTCAGAGTACTCAATGATGGCCATGGGCACTCGCACCTCGATTGGGCTAGCAATTGGCACTCGCTCAAGTAGCTACTGTGTAATTGCTTAGCCATTCAAACTCAGCAATTTTCTCTTCTTTGGCAAAAACATGGCGGCTGAATAGGCATCGGCGATGGAATACGAGATCTGACGAGTTTGCCGCCATCACTGCCATGGTTCGGCATTGCCCATTTTATCCTGTCCTTTGGCTTCGGACGTGGTTACAGCATCGCTCGGAGTCGATTCAATATCGCCCATCACGTCTGCCGCGCCACCCATAGCCGCGTCGTCAATCTCGTCTGTGTAAGTATACTCGCTGTCTTTGGAGGCTCCAGCGTCTTCCTTAATCGCTTTGTTGTTATCCATTTTCTCTTCTTGTTGTTCGCTTAATTGTTTTGTCTGCTCCGTCCTGCTTTGAGACACCTCGCCGGTGCTGTCACGCTCGTGTATGCATTCCGGTAGTTTGCTCGGGCAAGGAGTCCGTATCGGAGTTCGAGGCGTCGTCACATATGAATCGCGCCTCAAGCGGCATGTTGTCGTTTGGCATGCCCTCGCACAAATGCTCTTCTAGCGGCCGCTCCAAAGGTCTGATACTATCCAGTATATCTGCAATCTGCTTGTTAAGTGGCTTCTCGGATGGCGCTTCACTGGCCAGGTTTGAACCAAATGGGCTCGCGTGCCTTATTGATAAGCGGTTGACCTGAAAGCGTTGTACCAGAACCGCATTAGTATCCTGCCTCGCCTTCATTCGTGTCATCCAGCTGCTCGGCCAATGGTCGGTCGGACCAGGTCTGGCTTCCCGGCGTCTCGCTTGGCGCTGCACTCTGGTAAGTCGACTCCGGTGCACTGAGCAACTCTGGGAATGTCCCTACTACTCCCGCGCTCCTTTTGCTAACCACCTCCAAATACCCCTCATTCTCTGCATAGGCTTCTCCAGAGTAGACGGGCTGGATCGTTCCCCGGAATGGCATAATGATGTCTGCCGGCACTTCCCTCGACAACAGAGCATCACCTCAAACGGACCAACGCGCCTGGTACGCTGCGTCGTCAATAGCCCACCCACTGCAGGCATCGCGCACCGCCAGGCCGTATCGCGCCTCGTCGTCGCACGCCCCAGGCTCCATTATGTCGGGATAGATGTGCACTCATGGCTCTGGCAGGTCCGATGCCTCCATGTGGCTGTACACATGGTGCTGCACTCCCGGGCGATGCACCAGCATGTCCTTCGATATGCCCAAAGATGTCAGCCCCACCGTGAACTTCTCTCCGTCATCAGTGTCGCCCCGCGTCTTGTGCGAG